AAAAAAAGAAAAAAAAAATAATAATAATAAATTCTAATAATTTTCTAAAAAAAAAAAAAAAAACCCATTCCAATAAAAACTTGTAAAATTTTAAAATTAATTTGTGTTTTTTTTTTTTTTTTGGCAAAACCTTTTTTCTTTTTTTTTTTTTTTTTTTTTTTTTTAGACTTAAAGGGAAAGAAGTTACCTGGATTGGATTTTCCAAATTAGGTACCATCCTGAGTCAAGTTAACATTTCAATTTTCTAATAGCATTTAGATTGTTCATTTTTTCTTGAAAGTGTACCAGTTGTTCCTTTAGCCGACTGAAGTTTTTTCAATAGAATCTAGTAAATATAAAATTTTTTCAAAATTAGATTTTTTTTACATTTTATAATTTTTTTTTTTTTTTTTTTAAGGTTTTCATAGGTATATTATTACGTTAAATATATTAATACTATTCAAAATCTATTAACAAAAACCAATTAATATTTATTGTTATTTCAAAAAGAACGTCTGACAATTAATTAATTAATTAATTTTTTTTTTTACCTTATTTTCTCTGTCTATTTTTTCTTCCATTTTTGACCGATTAATGGCAGCGCTTGTTTTTCTTTGAATTTGAGGTTGAATTTGTGGTTTTGCTCTTTGCTTCCTGTGATTCATTATTTTTTTTAAAAGTATTAAATTAACCCTTTCGATTTCTCGAAGTTGTTCGTTGGTGAATGTCATATTTTTTCTGCTACACTTGGCTCTTCTTTCTTCTGAAAGTCCTAATTTAAAAAAAAGAAAAAAAAATTTTTTTTTAACATAAACAGTTACGACCATTAGCATACGACGAAAGGTAAAATAAATTATGACTTTAATTAAATGTGTGCGTGCGTGCGTGTAATAAAAAATTCAATTTACCCGATATTATACTCGATGCAAAATCAGATGTTTCTTCGTCCAAATCCAAATCTTCAAAAGCATCTTGCATGTATTTCATTTCTTCTAAAGCCACTTCATCCGAATTCCTATTTTGTTCCTCACTGTCATTATGATTGTCTCTCTTTTTATCTCTATCACAATTTTTATCATAAGATTGTTTCATAATAATCTCTTCTTCCCTTTTTTGGAATTTATTTTCCGTTTCACAGTTCTTCGGTTTTTCCTTAACGTAACCAATTTCCTTAAAATTTTCTGCTTTATCTACGTACATACTTTGTTTCGACATTGAAGAACATCCGCTAGAACTAGATCGAGGCGTAACATCTGTTATGTCCGACGTGGTATCCGAACTCGATGAATTATCCATTTCTTCCGCCATTGGCTCTTTTCTTTTGGGAGACATGTTTTCTACTTCCGATGTACCGGTCAAGTCTGTTTGAGATGGCGTAAAAGCGATGCAGTTCATTAAAGATTTTATTTCCTGACGCTTTTTTTCCTTTAATTTAACCGGTAGGGCTTGCTTGCAGACCTCGTGGGGATCTCTGTAACCCGGAGGAGGTCGTCTCGGCTTGTATTTGGACATTAATCCTACCGTTTTCGATTTATTTTTGCTCCTTTCCTTTTCCCATTTTCCAAATTCTAATTCTCTTTCTCTTCTTTCGGCTTCGATTGCCTCCCTTTCGTACCTTTCTCTTCTTCCTTGTTCTCTCTTGTCGAGAACACTAGTTTTCGTATTACATTCTTTCCTTCGGTTTTTTTCTTGATTTAAATACCTATCCTTTTTGTTTTTAGAATAATTTTCTCCATCGTCGACGATAATATCTTTTTTTCGTTTGTCTTTAATGATGTCCGCATTATTTATTTCGAAATCGCCAAAGGGACCCATTTGTCGATTATTCATTTGTAAAAATATTATTAATTTTCAAATTCAGAAAATATTTTCAACATGCCACCATTGAAATTTAATTATCAAAATAAAAATAATAAATACATACGTAGGTATATATTTTTGCATGAAAACACATCCGAATAACAAATTAACCTCACCTGTGCGATATTATTAAATGCACAAAAATTAAGTAAAAAAATTACAAGTATACAACCGGTTTATTGATTGTTAAATATTAAAAAACAATAAATGTATTTAATAAATTGTTTTTTTAACAGTTATAAAATCCTCCATGAAAAAAAATGTTCAACTGTTTTTCCTGTTTGTTTACAACTTCTGTCGTTTCTTGGCTGTTACTGTTTTATGACTCCACCTTCAATCAATATCAAAACATGAAAGTTTTTTTTTTTTTTTTTTTTTTATTTTAGTTTAAACGTGCGCTTGTGCAAATAACAAAACTGCGTCAAATATTAATTTGATATAAGCTTATAAATGAATTGAGTATAAAAACTAATATAATTATTAATTTTTTTTTCTTTCTCTTATTATATTTTTATAATAAGTTGAAAGTTTTTTTTTTTTTTTTTCAAAATATAAAAACAACGATAAATATTAACACTATTAATTTCTCGTCATGTTACTATCATTTAATACTTTTATATAAATAAATTTTTAATTAAAAAGCGCCTGCGTTACTTTTTTTAAACAATAATAATAATTTTAAAAATTATAAGAATATAAATTTGTCATTTTTAAAATTATGAAAACAAAATTTAAAATAATATAATATCTATTTAAATCCCTTTATGGAAACTGAAATTTAAATTCCTAATTAAAAAAAAAAATTATTTAACAAATATAAATAGTAAATTATTAATTACTCGATTTATAATAAATATGGCGATATAATTTTAGGCGAAACGATTATTAATAAAATTTTTAAAATTATTACAATAAATATTTTTTATTTCAAATATATAATTTATAGCGTCTTATTAACACTGAACAAATTATATTTTTTATTTTTTTTTTTTATAACATTATTTTTAATAACAAAAAAAAATAATAATAATAATTTTCAAACAATTATTTTTAAACAATTTTATAGTATAAAAATAATTAATAATAATTAACATTTTTTTAACCAACAAATTTTTATTATCACCGATGAAAAATTATAATTTTAAATTAAATTTTTTATTATTTATTTATTTATTTTTTTTTAAGGGTAGTTAATTTAAATTACATTTTATTTATGAAACTGGTGCAATATATATATAAAAAAAACATTTTTTATTCAAAAAAAAAAAAAAAAAAGTTACAAAAGTATATAAAAATTAAATTAAATACCACAGGTAAAAAAATTTATTATTATTATTATTATTATTATTATTAATCATTATTTATTAAAGCTTTTTTTTCTCAATGTTAATTACGTTAGAAATATTTTAGTTATAAAAATTAAAAAAAAAATTTTTTTTATTTAAAAAATTATAATAATTTTCGCACTTTATTTTTTAAAAAAACGGAAAAAAATTATTTTTAATTTCCCCCCCCCCCCCATTTAATTTCAAATCAGAAATTTTTTAATTATTTAAAAATTTAAATACCAAAAACATTGTAAAATTTTCATTAAAAAAATAAATAAATTTATCATATCGATCAATTGGAACATTATTTATAAAAATTTCTAAAGTTTAAATGCAATTTTTAAAAAAGTTTAAATGCATGTAGAAATCAACTGTAAATAAAATTAATAATTATTTGACCTAAAAGAAAAACTAATCAATAGTAAAAAAAAAAATCCATCCAAAAATTACATTATTACAGTTACAGATTTTTTGATAATAAAAATAAAGTAAAATATTTTAAAAGTTAAATAACAGTCGTAAATGAAAAATAAAATTTATGGGTTATTTTTTAACATTGTTAATTTTTCATTATTATTTTTACAAAAATTTAAGTTTATAGGCCAAAGCTTTCCCTCTAATAACTGATACGTATTTCTCAAGTTATAAAAAAAAAAAAAAAAAAAAATTCTTCCGGGTAAGTATAATAAATAATAATTACATTAAACGAGTAGTACCGATTGTAAAAGTAAAAAAAAAAAAAAAAAAAAAATTATTTTATTTCAATATTAAATATTATTCGATAAATAGTTATTATACCTAAACGATTACTTATGTTATTTTTTTTTTTTCGTTTCTTAATTCCTAGTTTTTTTTTTTTTTTTTTTTAAGAAAAAAAAAAAAAAAGGTTTAAAAAAGTTAAGAAATAATTACACCAGTCTCGAGGGGCGTGATTAATAAAGTCGCTTCAAAATTTGTCTCCACCATTTTTATTTTTTAGAATAATTTACTCTGCAACAAAAAAAAAAAAAATAAAACAATGTAATAAATGTAAAAGTATATATATATATTTAAATAAAAAAATTAAATAAAAATATTTGACCTGATTTGTGGCTGTTTCAGTCTTGTTGGCGGCCTGGGAATACCGCTCGTTCTACTTGAAGGCCTCATATGCGTTAAAGAAGGCACGGAAGACGGTTCTAAAGGTCGTAGTACGGGTACATTTACTGCAGGCTGAAAATTTTCTACCTTTTGGGGTACAGATGGTTCGGACGAAGTCCTAGCATACGATAACTAATATATATATATATAAAAGAAACAAAAAAAAAAAATAATAAAGGTCATTAAAAATTGTCATTAAAATTTAATAAAGTTCATTAAAAGTGAAAAATAATTATTACAGGTCTTTTAAAATTTTGTGCTGGTCGGACCAAGTTTGGCTTTAATTTGAGCTCTCGCTGAGGAACCCTTAAGGGCTGTTTTAAATTTGGCATTCGATACTTTTTCCCCCCTTCTATAAAAGAAAAAAAAAACAAAACAAAACAAAAAACAAAACAAAACGAAACGAAAAAAAAAACAAAAAAGAAAACAAAAAAAGAAAAAAACAAGGAAAAACTTTGGGAACTCATAGTTAGTGATTTTTTTTTTTAAGGTTTTACTAATAATAATAATAATAATAAAATTTTAAAATAAAATTTAATGTGGGATGTTTTACCTTGTACGTACGGGGTTACAATTTTACGTGGACTATGACTTCGACTGGAAGGATTCGAACGAGCCCGATATTCTCCGTCACCCATTCCTATTGGTGAAACAATGTCAAAATCTAATTTTTTCCATTCACCGGTCATCGGAGTCGATGAATTTCCTACATAAACTAAATTAAATATTATTTATTGTAATTTACTAGAAATAAATTTAAAAAAAAAAAAAAAACTTTAATTTTTCTATTTTCATAAAATCAATCATACTTGACTTGCGTTCAATTTCTGAACTTTTAGAACGTTCTGAAGGTTTTGTTTCAATATTGCTATCAGATGACTTGTAACTGTGATCGGAAGTACTGCTCATACAATCGTCTTCGCGCATTTCCCCTTCTTTTAATTTATTATTAATTATTTTCGGAGATTTTATTATTTCAGAATTTTGCTTTTTAAAACTAGAATCAAATAATTTTGTAGAATATTTTTCCTTGTGCAAAGCATTCAATTCATTTTCATCTAATGTTTTTTTAGATTTATCGTAAGTAACATTCATTGTGTTGTTTTTAGGAAAACCTGAGGGTGAAACATTATAGCTTTTGTTGTAATTATTGTTTTCAATATTTTCGGAACTTCTATTTGAACGTTTTTTAGGTGTCGTATCTTTTAAAACATCAGCTTTTGGAGCGGCGTCCATTAAATCGACTTTTTTATTTGCGTCGTATGTTAAATTCATTACGTTTTGCTTCGATAGATTTTTTTTCAACTCAAAAGTATTATTTAATTCACAAGGTTCTTCATCATTAATTTCATACGTTCGATTTAAATCGTTATCATCTCCGTTATATTCGTTCTCTGCTTTATTTTTTACGAATTCTGTTTCAGGAACTTCCATGCCTCCAATTGTGATTCTGCTTTCGTTTGATTTATTGTCATTTGGAGTACGATGAAAAAGACAAATGTCATGTTGTTCCATCTCTCTCATTATAGAAGAATATGTATTTTGATCGGTTGACAATGTCAATCGATCACAAAAACCACTGACTTCATCTAAACTAATAAAGCTTTCGTTATCATCTGAATAATAATCTTGAATGTTTTTAAAAATTTCGGACAAACGTGCGGAATGCGAATTTTTTAAGTCAATATCAATGGGGCCTTTTCTAATATTATCCGACATTTCATTTTTGACTTCGTTTTGAATTCTTTGGTTGATAATATTTTGTTCATCTTGATTACAGACTTTAAAAGATGAATTAGCTTTTTTTAATTCTTGTAAACGATCGTATAAGCTAGCGGGTAAAGATTGTCGTTTTGATTTTCCATTTGATTTTATCAATTCAACCATACTTTCATCGGCTCCATCGACATTTTGAAAATTTTCCTTATTTCCTGAAACAGATTTGTTATTAGTTTTGCTGAGTTCTTCTAATTTTGATATAAGATTTGGAGTAGGACTAATTGTAGTAGTAAGACGTCTCTGAAGCTTGGGTCGTCCATCTTCAGGATTAATTACAAACGTTAGTGACGGTCTAGCTGTATATTTTTTAGGTCTGGTAAACGTCCGTGAGTCTATAGGCACTCCATGATGGCGGTCATTAAGGGAAGACATTTGTAATTGACGACATAGTTCAGATATATCTGGTTGATGCTCATCAATATCAAAAAAAATACGCTTACAAATATCTGTTGCAGATTCTGGATTACTATAATCGTCAGTTAACCTAAAATTAAACAACAAAAAAAAAAATTAAATAACTTAATTACTACACAATAAGTATTCACATTAAAATATTTCAAATATATAAATGAAATCTTAAATTAAAGGGTAAATTACATTAAATCCGTAATAGAAATTTTGTATTATTCTCGTTGCAGCATATAAATAAATATAAAAAAAATCTTTTATTAAATTGTCACTCAATTAAAAGGAAAAATTTTTTAAAATTATGTTTACTTTAAAAAATATAATTAAAAAAGTTCACATTATACTATTTTTACACGAAATTATTATTATTAATATATTAAAATTATTTAATAATCATATAAATAATATAATTTGCTAGAAACTCGATATAAAAAAATTAAATAATAAATTTAAAAAAACTTAAATATATAATATTATTAATTATAATATGATTAGTTGGTAAAAAAAAAAAAAAAAACATTATATTTTTATAAAAATTAAATTGAAATAAATAATTTTAATGTTAACAATTTTTATGGATGGAGCACAAATTTTTTAAAACTTTTTTCTTCTTCTCAGATATTTCTTGTTTGTATAGAAAATGTTAACTTAATTTCCCTAACAAAAAAGTATTTATTTTTCCTATAATAATAATTTTTTAATTCTTAATTTAATTGACTTGCTATACCCAATTTAAAAAATGATATTATTCACTTAAAATTTCAAATGCAAAAAAAGAAAAAAAAAATTTAATAAAAACAATAATAATAAAAAAAAATAGAATGAATCCATATATCAGGTCAGATAAGTTTGCCAAAATAAAAGAATTTTTTTCTTTTTATTTGTATAGAAAATAATTTTTTTAAATTGAATTTTTTTTTTTGTCCTAACTGGTATTTGCGTTTAAAAATATTTAAAAAATATTTATTAATCAATATTGATGTTCGATACGATTAGTCTTGCTTCATTGAATCTACGCTACAACTACCTAATAAGATTTAATATCGTTTTGAATATAAAATATTTTATTTTTATTTTCCTACACTTCTCATGTCGGATATTAGGTTTACACACCATTAACTTCCTATAAATATTATTTTTAATAAATTTTTCAATAATTACTTTCTTTTAATGCAAATTTTTTTTTTTTTTTTTTAAATAAAAATTTACAACAAATAATGTAAACAAACCTATAATAAAAAAATATTAACAAACCCCTACCCCCTTTCTCTAATTAATAATTAGTATCTTTTGCAAGTTACCTTAAG